GTCCCCGTTTTAGGGAGATCGACATTGCAATGTCATAAAGCTTCGTTGAGCTTACTTTGCGCGTTACCTATTCTTAGCACATGTAAAAACTGGGGCCCTCACCCCTGCTCGGGTGCCCAGCGTGAATTCCGGCATCTTTGGCAGCTGAGTGGCTCGATTCTTGTCCACATGACAGGCCACGATACGGCGTTCTTACTAATAAGGCCTTGTTTATTGTATCAGTGTTTCGAAGCCTTTGTCACTCTCCTTTCTCCTCACCATAAGTCTACACGCTAGGCACCCGAGAAGGGGGTGGGGTTATATAGTTGCATTGTATATTCCATGCTGCCATGGTGGGCTGAGAAGAACACCTACCTACCTGACATGGTGTTGTTGTACGACCCGCTCGTTCGGTGCTGGTAAGTACTGGTAAGACTGACCAATCTGAGCCTGACACAAGTGTCACAGGCTGCATTGTGTCAGTGCAGCAGCATGTGTTTTCGATAGTTATACCATCTACGAGACTATGACCGATCACAATTCTCATCATTTCAAAATCTCCTCTCGCATTTATTCACCTTACAGACGTCATCCGCAGTGTATTGACACTGCAAATTTAAACCGCCGGTGGCTGATTCTATTCTGCCCTATTCTGCCGGCTTAGTTCAAGAAGGATCCTCGACGTTGGCGCGCGGTGTACAGTAAGTACCAGTAGGTAAGACACTAAGTCTGCTACCGGTATCTCCCCGATAATCTCACCCTAGTTCCTAGGGACTAAGCGCACCGACTCTAGACCGTGTTTAGATCTTACTTCTCTTCTCAACAGTTCACTTTCCACCGATCTTGGATCCTGAAACTGGTGGAGAGGAATTCAGAGGCATATGTCACTGTAACAGTCTTCAAAACGCAAATTTATATCTCATGTTCTGTATTCTACAGTAAAAACAGATATCCTTTGTTCCACAGAGCCGCTGATGTGCGACCAAACTAGAGTAAAGACACGAGGAGTATACCTACCCTAGTATAGCCGACGGATCCGATCGGCGAGGCAACGTCTAGTTCCAACACGTCAAGAGCCACCGAACGGCCTGGCGGTGAAAAGAGGTAACAGGAACGACATTGGAGCGATTGGTGTATTTCCTGATTCGAGTGTTGCGGTTATGATTTTGGAGCTTATTTATCTTGCGACATTAGTGAAATGCCTGTCAAAGCAATGCAACAGCAATTGCTGCAATCTTGTAGAATATGGTACAGTACTATGGCATTCTACGCTGTTGGATACTATACTACCACTACGGTAAAAAATTGTTTACTGTAGAATGGTACGCTAGGGGTTTACTATATAGGTGTAAACTGCCCTCGTGTATACCCGTAAATAGGTTTAAAGTGGTGGTTTACTTTATTAAAGTAGCAGTTTACTTTATTAAAGTAGTAGTTTACTTTTATAGTAGGGGGTTAAATTAAGTATAAAAAGTAGTTTTACTTCTATTATACGCTATAATACCTAACTAAGACTAAAAGGGGTAGAGAAACTTAGCTTCACGCTATACGCACATATAACACAATAATAAGTCATGATATTTTAACTAATAGGAGGTGGTAATAATAGAGGTGGTGATAGAGGTGGTGATAGAGGTGGTGATAGAGGTGGTGATAGAGGTGGTGATAGAGGTGGTGGAGGTGGTGATAGAGGTGGTAGAGGTGGTAGAGGTGGTGGAGGTGGTAGAGGTGGTAGAGGTGGTGGAGGTGGTGATAGAGGTGGTAGAGGTGGTAGAGGTGGTGGAGGTGGTAGAGGTGGTAGAGGTGGTGGAGGTGGTGATAGAGGTGGTAGAGGTGGTGAAGAAGATTAAAGAAAGGAGGGGTAAAATACTTAGATAGTTAGTAGGAAACTAGTTATTACTACGTAATACTAGTAGATTAATAGAAGTAGAAGTAAAAGTGGAATACATAGTATAGTAAACCCTATTTAGGTTTACTTCTTCTACCTAAACTACTTCTTAGTCTACTTTAGATAAATATGGCTACTGTAAACCAGTTTTGTCGTAGTGTACGCTGCTGAATTGCTAAGAATACTAAGCTTTTTCTAAAGGCTTGGCTAGTGCAAACGTATTGTAATGCGAGATCAAGTAAACAAAGAAATGGTTCCTAATCCATTGACAGTAAAATATCCATAATCCCAGCCATAGGTATTGCTAGACATGCGTATTTTGCATGCTCCCGGGCATGGGTCGTTGGACGGTCAAATTCAAACACAGGATATAGTTATATAGTTCCCTCAGATTGCCTTCAATGTGTATACATATGGACAATGTCCAGTAACCATGGCTTGTGTTTGAGCAGGGAGAGTAATATACAACATCGAGACGCATCTGCTATCTGCAAGACAAGCGTCCTCGCAAACTGCTCTGCTATCTTGTGGAAAACAAGCTAAAATAGCCTAACCTACCGATTCTTGCTCCAGGTCAAGAGTTCAATTTATGGGTTCAAGAGTGCATTCGCACTGGCAGGTGGTTCACAGTAAAGACCGTGAGATAAGAGGGAGAGTAGGGCGTGTCATCTCAACAAGATGTATCGATTCGCGGTAGGTCTTGATACTTGCTGTCTTACGGGGTAGTTAAAATGTGCCCTCAAGTCAACCCCAGTGATGGCTAAAGGTTAGCCATCTCCTGGGGGGTTTGTAAGCTGCCATACTCTTTATTAGTCAGCATTATAGAAAAGCAGCTCTTGTATTAATATGTATGGCGCCAGGTATCTCAGAGGAATCCCGCACTAAGGTATTTTCGGATAGATGTTTTGGCTCTCTGTCGGTAAAACATGTTTTATCATCTAGAGTACAGAGAAAGAGATGTCGGACCGTTATCAACGAGAGTTTTTCATGCACCATTCGTGAAGTCGGCAAGTTGTTGGCTTGGATGACCCGATTACGCAAGAGTCCTCATCATCGTCTTAGTCATAAGCCCGAGAGAGCAATAGGGTCACATAGTAGTGCAATGCTGGCTATGCTAAAAAGGATAATTCATGGTATTTATTATACATGGCGGGGCTGGCAAGACGCCAAAGATAGAGCCGTTCTTGCAGCTGTTAGGAAAGAAGGGAAGATAGATTTGTTGTGTAAAGTCTTGTCAAGCTAGCTGCATGTCACACCCTATCGGGCCTTCTCGAACTTCCTCGAGTGTCCGAACGGCCGTAGCATTAGAAAGGCCGTAGCATTAGAAAGGCCGTAGCATTACCGGCCGGTATGCTGACATAAATTGCCTAGCTAATACGTCATAGGACCCAATTTGATGTATGTACGTACGGGATGCACGGAAAGATGCTACAAATTATATGTATCTAGTAGAGTAGCTGAATATACATTGAGCAGCAACGGCTTGTGCTAACTTAGTATCTACTAGTAGATTGCCCCATACACTAGATACCTACCCACAAATCAACAGAAATCCAATTTTCTGCGCTTAGTACAGTACAATATTGTTATTGTGTGTAGGGATCATGGTTCTGTCACTCTGAAGGCGCGTGTAGTGTGTGAGATTTCACACTCGGCCAGATTACTAGATAAGCACCGTGACACCGACCAAAGTAATGCCTGGCATGTTAGTTGATGGAGACACAATAGTTTTGGAAAGCAGTGATACAATGATATTTCTTACTGAACAACAAAGACCATTTGTTTACAACCTTTTTCATAACTAAAGGAACAGATTGCCCTTCAAGGACGATTCAATCATCTATGCTAGAGCGCAAGTCTATTCCCACTAAGCTGAGCGACCAGAAAATTCCTGGTTGTGACTAGAATGGTACGTGTAAGCAGAGTCGTGTCAGGAGATGAACGCATAGAGTGGTCAGACGCATGGGACTTACTACGTCATTCGCAGTTGCAAGAAGAGCTGCATGAATCTGCAGAGTGTAGCAAGCAAGAAAGATCAAGCGGTGTTCAAGGTGTGTTTAATAGGGCATATAAGGATTGATGGACCACTAGATCAGGATTGGCCATGAGCTGGTCCCTGAGTGCCCCTTCTATTCTGGATGACTGGTCCAAAGGCTCGAGCATGTGGATTGCAATGTTCAAGAACAATGTAGTGCAAATAGAGATCCAACAGGTACTGTTGAATAGGGAGGGTAGCCCTGCTTTTACGAAAAAAGGATAGGAAAGCATTGCAGTGTATGTATTGATACGCTGATACTCAGATTATACACGTTCTTCTACGGCCCCCAAAGGTCCGCCCGCCATCCTCGAAGGACCAGAATGGAGTCCCCTCTTTCCCAAACTGCTCCTCCTATGATCCTTCTCCTCATCGTCAAACGCCGAATCCAGCATAAACGGACTCTTCGCGCGAATCTCTCTTCCTTTGAACAAGAGTACAACCGGAACAATACTCAAGGCCGCACCGACGAAGCCTAGCAAACTGCCTGCCCAACCAAATCCCAGGGTATCGAAAAGCTGAAACGAGGCAAAGGGTAGAAAAGCTCCGAATGTGTTTCGACCCAGCGATGCAGCGGACAGGGCTGATGCGGCATATTTCTCGTAGGCGTCGGTGAGGTAGTTGACAACGCCCATGTAAATCGAGTAAATGCCGACCCCGACAATCGTGACTCCAATGGTTGGAACAATCCAGTGTACATCTGTCGTGGAACTCCATCCATACATGAACAATCCCGCCGTGAAGAGCAAGGAACCTGGTATGCTTGTATATAGTCTTCCTTCTGGAATTGGCTTTCCTGGCCGTTCTTTGTTTTTCCTTGCGGTGCGAAGGTACAGCCAATCCTGGATTGGGTTGAACAGTGTGCCGATGAGTGCTCCGACCGTGATGGCGAGCTGGATCATTCCCGTTTGGAAAACACCGAATCCATAACTCGCACTGAACGTTTGTACGACGCTCGAAAAGAACAAAAATAAAATTCCCCAAGCGAAGCTGATCCAGAGCGTAAAGAAGATGACGACAGGTTCAGTCAATAGCATTTTTGTGGGTCGCATGAATGAGACTTTGAGCAGCTGGGCAATGGTTTGCTTCTCGAGTTCGGATTCGGCATAGATTGGCCGACCCGTTTCTTTGCGTAGTTTGGAGGCGCGCTTTTGGAGTATGACATCGCCGCGGGTTTCGGATAGGATGAAGTAGAAGACGGGGATGAGGGCAGCGTTATAGATGATTTGGATGTAGTAGATCCAGCGCCATGGCGACTGTAAGCCAACGTCAGGTTTGCGAATTTGAACAATTGCACTCCCGATGAAGGGCCCGAGAGCGATGCCAGCAACTGATGTGAAACCAAACAGCGACATGGGCAGACTGCGAGCTTTATCACCTTTCCAAACATCACTGATACTGCCGCCAACGATGTTAATGGATACCGAAGATGCACCGCCGCCGAAGAATCGCGTCACAACCAATGTAGCAAAGTTATTTGCGAATGCTGAGCCAAAGAGAAATAATTCGAATATAATGTATGCAATCTAGACTCTATGAGCACAGGCCCAAATTTAGCGGAGGGGTTACTTACAAAGTATCCTGGCATACGGCCAGTGTTTTCAGTAAGTGGAACAAAGACGAGTGGGAACAGAGCGGCGCCAACATTCCAGCTACATGTCGCCCAGTATAGGTTTGGAAAGGGCTCGTTTTGAACGCTGAAGCGATCTGCCATGTACTCATTCCCTGCACCGTAGGATCCAGCCGGTAGACCGGTCAAAATGGAGATGAAGCAAATGGTTATTGTCAAGATCCACTTGTATGTGACGGACCAATTGAATCTGACAGCATCAGCGAGTGTGATATGTCATGAAGTGAGGGAAACTGACGGATTTTCAGGATCATGAGGTCCGTTCCATGTATGAAGTTCAACTTCTTTGCCATCTCTGAGATGGTGGAAGATCAAAGACGACGACATTTGGGGGGGGGAGCAAAGCCGAGGTTTTGCCGTTCGGGAGCTACTTGCACTACCTACCGTATGATGATGTCGAGATTCGAATCGTTGCTGAGCAATCCAATTCGTCCGCCACCATTGTCCACCGTGTCTCTTCTCTCTTTCTTTTGCCCCTGTCTAGTAGAGAGGGTACGGTGCATTTGCATCAATCGCATTGCCGTAGTCGGACTGCATACACGTCCAGCTCGTTGTTGCTGCCTTCCGCCTTCCCACGGCCATTTCCCCCACCAACCACCACCACCTCCACCGACAAGATTCACGTGTTCGTCGTCGCCCGAGATCGCACTTGCCCACACACATCAATACACACACCATGCTTCAAGGCGCAAGCCTTTCATGGCGCACAGCTCTGCGCTATACGGCCCGTTCGAGTTCGAGGAGGGTGGCGGCACGGCAGTCGTCGTCGTCGTCGTCGTCGTCGTCGTCCCGTTTTCTGCCTGCACAATGTCAAGCCTCGTTGTTTGTGCGCCCGCCATGTTCATGTCCCTCGCCGCCCGCAGCTCTCTTCGCCTTCCGGACCTTCTCCACCTCACTGAGTAGAGGAAAGGAGAAAGACCCCAAGGCCAATCCGGAGCCGCTGGAAGAAGGGCAGGAAGAGGAGGCCGAGGAGGACAAGCGGAAGGCCGAGGAGCTGGAAGCCAAGAAAAATGCGCCTGAGCCAATACCGTCCCGAACAGGCTCAGGGCGTGCCAGTGCCGCTGGAGGGAGCGGCTCTGGTAGCGGCGGCGGCGGCGATGGCGGGGGCGGTGGGAAGAAGCGCAAGGCTGCCGAACGATCGCTCGCAAAGACTTCGATACCCGACATCTACCCCCAGGTCATGGCCATTCCGCTTGTCAAACGCCCGCTGTTCCCTGGCTTCTACAAGGCCATCACCATCCGTGATCGCGAGGTCGGTCAGGCGCTCGCCGAAATGGTCAAGCGGGGCCAGCCGTACATTGGCGCCTTCTTGTTCAAGGACGACTCGGTGGACAAGGACGTTATCCATGACCGCAACGAGGTCTACGACGTGGGTACCTTTTGCCAGGTCACGAGCGCCTTCCCTGTCGTGGGCAGCAACGATGACAACTTCGCCATGACTTGCGTTCTCTACCCACATCGTCGCATTCGGATGACTGGCCTGACAGCCGCTAGGCAAGACAGCGACGAGCCTTCCTCGGCGGCCGAAAGCACCTTGGCCGACGATGAAGCCCCAGCAGAAGGCACGGCGCAGTCCAAGGGCGACGTTGTGGCCAGCTTCGAAGAACTCAGTGACGAGGCCAAGTCGAATCAGCAGGAGCTCGTACCCACACTCTTAAAAGGGCGCAATGTCAGCATAGCCAATGTCGACAATATGGTGGAAGAACCCTTCGACAGTAAGACCAACAAGACCATTCAGGCTCTCAGCAACGAGATCGTCAGCACGTTCAAGACCCTCGCATCCATCAACCCGCTATTCCGCGACCACGTTGCAACCTTCTCGGTACACACAACCACCAACATCGGTGAAGATCCAGTCAAGTTGGCCGACTTTGGCGCGGCCGTAGCCCAGGGCAATTCGGACGAGTTGCAAGATATTCTCGAGGAGATGGACGTTGAGCAGCGGCTAAGTAAAGCTCTGGAGATCATGAAGAGGGAGCTGCTACATGCCGAGTTGCAAAAGAAGGTGTCAGACGAGGTCAACGCCCGGGTCAATAAAAAACACCGCGAGTACGTGTTGATGGAGCAGTTGAAAGGCATCAAGCGTGAGCTGGGTATTGAGTCGGACGGCAAGGACAAGCTGATCGAGAAGTTCACGGAGAAGGCTAGCAAGCTGGCAATGCCCGAGGCTGTACGCAAGGTTTTTGAGGAAGAAATGAGCAAACTGCAAGGCCTTGAGCCAAACGGATCAGAGTTCAACGTCACAAGAAATTATCTTGACTGGCTCACCCAACTTCCTTGGGGATTGCGCAGCGCCGAGAACTTTGGCATTGCCCATGCACGCCAAGTCCTCGACGAAGACCATCACGGCCTCAAGGATGTCAAGGACCGGATTCTGGAATTCATCGCCGTGGGCAAACTTCGCGGTACAGTCGAAGGCAAGATTCTGTGCTTGGTGGGACCACCCGGTGTGGGTAAAACGTCGATTGGAAAGTCGATTGCCCGGGCTCTGAATCGTCAATACTACCGCTTCAGCGTCGGTGGTATGTACGATGTTGCTGAGATCAAGGGTCATCGCAGAACCTATGTTGGTGCTCTTCCTGGTCGCATCATTCAAGCCTTGAAGAAGTGCCAAACTGAGAACCCGCTCATCTTGATTGACGAGGTTGACAAGATTGGCCGCAACAGTAATCACGGAGACCCTGCATCTGCGCTTTTGGAGCTACTGGATCCCGAGCAGAATAACAGCTTCCTGGACCACTACCTAGACGTGCCCATGGACCTCTCCAAGGTACTGTTTGTTTGCACTGCCAACATGGACGAGACCATTCCCCAGCCACTACTTGATCGCATGGAGGTCATCCGACTGTCGGGTTACGTTTCAGACGAGAAGATTGCCATTGCCGAAAAGTACCTGTCACCTGCGGCCAAGGAAATGAGCGGTCTGAAGGAGGCCGACGTCGTCCTTCAAGGCGACGCTATCGTCGAACTAATCAACAAGTACTGCAGAGAGTCGGGCGTGCGGAATCTCAAGAAGCATGTTGAAAAGGTCTATCGCAAGGCTGCGCTCAAGATTGTCAACGATGTTGGCGAGGAGGCGCTGCCCGAGTCTGCAGCTTTGACGGAAGAGGGCAAAGCAGCACAGAGCGAGGCAGCCAAAGACAAATCTGATTTGAAGGAGACACCAGAGAATATGGAAAAGCAGACGACGGAGCAGCCTCGTGTTGCGCTAAAGGTTCCGGATACCGTACACGTTTCCATCACAAAGGACAATCTAAAGGACTACGTTGGCCCACCCATCTTCACGTCCGACCGGCTGTACGACTTCACCCCACCGGGAGTTGCCATGGGTCTAGCATGGACTTCTATGGGCGGCTCAGCCCTGTACATTGAATGCATCCTTCAAAACGCACTCTCTGCCTCATCCTCGCCTGCCCTCGAGCGTACGGGCTCGTTGCGAGACGTGATGAAAGAGTCGACTGGGGTGGCCTACTCTTTTGCCAAGAGTCTGCTCGCACACGAGTTCCCCAAGAACAAATTCTTCGAGCACGCAAGGATACATCTGCATTGCCCCGAGGGAGCGACACCCAAGGATGGACCCAGTGCTGGTATCACCATGGCTACGAGCATGCTCAGTCTGGCGCTGGACAAGAAGATTCGAGATGATGTTGCCATGACGGGCGAGCTTACCCTCACTGGCAAAGTCTTGCGGATTGGCGGGCTACGGGAGAAGACGGTGGCTGCGAGACGGGCCGGGGCAAAGACGGTGATTTTCCCACATGACAATATGAGTGACTGGTTAGAGCTTCCCGAGGTATGTTTGATCTATCTTTCCTTTTTTTTTTCATGCTCTGTGACTTTTTACTTTTTCAAAAGCTGACGGGAAAACACCAGAACATCAAGGAAGGCATTGAAGGCCGTCCGGTCCAATGGTACAAGGAAGTGTTTGACATTGTGTTCCCCGACCTGGACAAGGAGGCAACCAACAAGATGTGGGAGAAGGAACTCAAGGGCAACAAAAAGGACCGGAAGAAGCGGGAGCAGAAGCGCAAGGAGGAAGATGAGGAAGAATCGGGCGACGATGATTGAAGGTCATAATGTCACGTGCATGCAAAACAAGTCATTCAATATTGGGTCAGGGGACTTGGGCTTGGAGTTGGTCTCTGCCATGTAAGATATGAAGTGTGTGCGATACGTCAAAGTGAAATGTTGTATAGAAGGCAAAGGTGGAGACATGACGACGGCACCGCATTCTGGGCGTTTTCGGCATGATTTTGCATAGAGCATTTGGGCTTCTGGGAGCTGAGCGCGGTGGAAAGCAGGTGTTGGATGGATCTCTTCTCTAGCGGATTGCGTTGGGGTGGTATACTATCTAGGTGCACTTTTGCACGGGGGATGGCAGAGTGTAGGTAGGTTGGTATAGTGCAATGTTGGTTGTTGTATGATAGCTGTAGCTTTGGTGCAATGTCGATGGTTGTATGATGAACGTGTATGATGAACGGGTTTTGGTGGGAGTTTCGAGACAAGTGAGCATGCACAAGGCAGCAGCGCGCTTTGGCATAGAACCAGACCTCACCACCAGCGATAACAAACGCAATCCCACCCCATCCCATCCCATCCCATCCCGTCTCATCCAGCACACCGGCCTTGCCGCCAACGCGGGACGGTCCGATACAACAGCATGCCACGATACAGCCCCGGGGAGTGGGGGAGAATACATCACATGATCGGCCGCCACCCCTTCACATGTCGACAAGACACGGTACCGTCGGATAGTAGGGTACTTGTGCAGAAGCGGAGATTGGCAAGCAGCATCTTGTGCTGCAGCAGAGAGCTTGTAGGCCCGGTTGCCTTGCCGCGTTTGACGATGGAAGCGTGGCCGTGCTGGGTGTGTTGGGGGTGGGGGAGAAGGCGGAGGTGGGGATGGGAAAGGGACTTTGGGGGTTTTAGGGGGGTTGTTGCGATGCAAGTATTGTAGCTAGCTACGTGTATACTCTGGTAACGGTAGAGGAGGAGGGAGAGGAAGGGAGGGAGGGAGGCATCGGAGCGCACCGTACCGAAGGACAAGGTACAAGGTACAAGGTACAATAGTGGTGTTGATGTTGTTGGTGGACCGCTGTCGGACCGATGGAAACTTGAATGATTATACAAAAACCTATGTCTACTAAAACTCATCCTCATCGCACTAGATAATATACCTACTGTCTAGCTGCGTGATTGAACGGAAACGCTGCT